CTACACTACAACTAGACTAAAAATTCTTCATTATGGTTAATGCCAGTGATCAGGTCATAGTATCTTACTCGGCTGAATGTTCTGAATTAAATAACCAGTTTTTCCCCTTAAGGAAGTGACTGATAGGCTGACTCTTTGCTTGGTTTTCCCTTTGTTCTTACAGTAACCCAATTTTCATTACAAAATCCAAATAGCTGTACAGATACAGTAAGTGACCAATTTACTACCATTTATATTGTATTCTATTGAAAACTGCCTGATGTAAGAATCCCAAGAAAATACCAGCCTGACCTGTACCTGTACATATTAAGGTAAAGGATATGAATTCACTTGTACTGTATTCTTGTCAACATCCTCACAATATATAAGCTTACAATTAAGTGGTTAGTAAATCTGTCTGTTACATTTAAACCTAAGAGCTCAGAGAAATCAGGCCATTTATGTATGTTTTGTGCCCGAGCTAACCTAACTGTATATATCAGTCCCGGAGCCAATCTTGGATGCATGGCATTCCACAGTAATCCCCCCCTCACCCTCACCACCACACAGAGAGGTTCGGTTTCACTTTTACATCAATATTTACAGTTACACTCAGCATCAGTGTGTTGACCAGCTTGTGGGTCATAACTTGGCAACTTAAAAAAAGTTAACATTGTTACCATTATGTTGTCAGAGCTCACATGGTATTTGTTCTTCTGTTGTCCAATATTTCATGGAGATAACAATTCAACAATAAACTTATCCCTTCAACAAATCCTCACAGAATAAAGCACTTGATCTACATTTCCCCAAAGACACAGAAAATCTTTAAACTCTCCATGGAAGTGACCTTGTACAAGCATGATGGAAAAACCTCCCTACACTGATATTATACTGCCGATAAATACATGATACAGTACACACAAATAGTCAATTCACCTTTGGGATGAGCCACTGGTATACTGCCGATAAATACATGATACAGTACACACAAATAGTCAATTCACCTTTGGGATGAGCCACTGGTATACTGTAAATCCAACAATAAACCAATATTCACATCAAGTTATACCAGACAATAATGTTTTTCAAATTACGGTTATCTCTTAGCTGGGAACCCTGTGTGGGGACAGCCTCAAGAGTATTCTCAAATAGTTTTCAGGTCCTGCAGTATAATGGCCAGCCTGGACACTGACAACAGGATAGTAGAGACTTGCTGTAACTTACCCTCAAAGATGTCTGTCTGGCAGATGGTCTTAGTTTTACCAATACACAGCAAAGTATCACACAAACAGCAACAGAGATAATAAAAAGTATATAGTATTTAGTAAACAGTTTGGAGAGCACAAAATATATATCACTGGAACCAAAACTAACAGTACTCTAAACCCCTTCACTACGGGGAGCGACACTTTTAATGATGAGGACCACAAGCAACTTTCTGTCCATTTCCTAATAATTCACTTCAGTTGTAATGACACAAACAGTAATTTTGTGGACCATGAACATTAGTAATCAATCTCTGCCATACTTACTGCCAGTGTCTGATACCAGGGTGCTGTATGACATGACCTGGTATAAACTAGTACTGTACACAGGTATAGTGGAAGAGGAACAATCTAGCAAATACCTGGTACATCTAAGAAGCCAATTAAGTAAGTGCAAACCAAAGCAAGTGAAGGGAGAGTCTATGTCACTCTTGATGTTGGGTTCTGTGATCTAAGCAGAAATAAAATCTAAAAGAGAGAGCAAATTAAAGAGTATTTTGTCTTTCTTCAGTTCTGAGATGAGCAAGTCTTGACAAAACATTAAGTAAATATAAGAACCAAAGATTATATACTTCTGAAACTGTATTTAAGAAGAAGACTTGGAGCAGCTACAGATAACAACACTAGACACAATGCTCAGATAACCTCATGGGTGGGTGTTTGGAGGTCATTTGTGAATACAGTAATGCACACCGCCATCCCAGAAAATTAGTTTTTGCGCCTGAACGCTATTATAATTAAAAAGCAGTGGTAATTGGCTATGTGATTCTCCGAGCACACCAACGTACTAATAATCATTCAACCATCAACCTCAGCAATAAGTTACTACATAAACCAGCCTAATCCTTCTGTATAGTATTGGATAGAAATAATGAACATGTTCAATGGTACAGCTGAACAATATTACATTTGGCAAAATAAACTATAATTTAGCCCTAATCCACCTGATGACTGTTTCTGGGTCTGACCAAACCTACAGTGTGATGCATCAAATCATTTACTGCCATTCTGCCAACAATTCCAACTAATATGTGACTATGCAAAACATCTTCAGTGAAGGGACAAAATAAACATCAACAAGCACGGCAAAATAATAACACCAGGGACAGGAGCTGTTACTGCAAGAGGTGGCACTTGATAGACACAAACACTGACAAGGCCTAACTGACTCTCGATAAAATTCACACTGGCTGTACACACACATACACAGTCTGTGAAACATGGCTCTTCTGAAGCCCTGTTGGGACATTCGAGGAATCAGTGGCTCGGTGAAATTTATCAGGTTTAATGTTAGTCGATATGTTATCAAAATGCTCAGAGGCAGCCTTGTATAGATCGGCATTGAATTATTATTTGTGGAATAGGAGAGTCCTCTTAAGACTAGTGAAAAGGAAACCGATTCAAATAAAATACAACAAACCGTAAACCACCAACTCAAGGGGACTTCTATATACCGTTCTGTACAGGGTAGCTATATCTCACTGTATCTGAGGCAGAGTAAGAGGTGTGGTTCCACTTATTACTTCAGCTATTTACAATCCTTCCTACACTCATCTTGATCCAGTGTAACCTACAAGGGGTAAGTAGACTACCTCCACTAACCCCTTTGTTATGGGGGCGTCACTTTTAATATTTGGCAGACGCTATAAGATTTTATTCAGGTCGGAGGTGACCCCTGCATCATTCTCACACGTCAATGCCATCTTGGCGAGTCTCTCTTCGCCCACTCCACTTCTCCGCCTTACTTAACACCTTGTACACATCAGTATCTTCTACCCCTTCCAGACAGGTGACCCCAGATACAGCCATCAGATAACACATTTCTGGTGCTTGAAATCTAAATTTTTCTGTCCCTTTCGAAGTTCATGTTTCACTGTCATGAGTTAAGATAAGAAGTATTATGCTGTATTGTACTATCTCTGAGGTCATTCTTTAGCCCTGAGATTATATTCCATCCCTTAATGATCCTTCCTAACAGTCTAAATTATCCACCATCTGCCAAAAGCATTGCATCATCCGGAAACGGTACAGGGTGTTTTAAAAGATATCACTTTGAAGGAAAATTATCGTTTTTTTTTTCTAGGTGAGGGAATCTTGACAAATCAACGAACACAGCCAAGAAATTAACACGTGATGAAGAGTCATATTATTATTTATGAGAGGAAAGTTAGATCCTACACACCGGTCAGCTGCAAAAAAAAAAGTTTAATCGACAACACAGCACCCACAGTATCTGTGTCATCGATTAGCTTCTTCTCATTGGTGTGTAGTATCTGGCTCTCTGTATATGAACATTACAGTAGCCCTATCCCTTAGTGTTTATGTCTCTGCCGTGTTCATTGATTTGTTATGATTCTGTCACCTAGAAAAAGAAAACGAACATTAATCTTCCTTTGGTATAGTGACCTATGAGACACCTTGTTCAGTATTGTATATAGTAAATGTACCTAACAGCGACATCCCACCTCCCAGCTAAAGCTATGCTTCTGACCTAGTCACCCCTTACCTTCAATTCTCTGACTACTCCATCCATACACACATTTCAACAACCACAAGAATGTCACACACACACATCCTGACCTCACTCTCACTCTCACATCAGCTCAAAGATTGACTGACATTGGATCTATTCAACCTCTGCCCACCTCAAGTCATCCCTATTTCTAACCTATCCTAAAATCTCCTCACTATCAATTACATTCCTCCCAAATAACTTCCCCAGGTGTGCTCAAAGGGGCTGATATCTCTCTAGTCTTTGTTTACACTCTTCCTTGTAACCTTTTCCTCAGCATAATGGTTCAGTAACTACTATCATAACCTTACACCGCCCATCTGATATGTTCGATGGCATATGATTATAATGTGTACATTATTTTCTCCTTTGTATACCTAAACCATCCATTATCAGTTTTAAAAAAGAATCAGAACTGTGATTTTATTTTTAATATTTGTAAGCCATTTCCTGCTTTAGTTAGAATCAAAGGCAACACAGATTCTCTCCCCCCTCACTTGCCACCAGTCACTCTCTCTAGATGCCTCAACAAAAGTACAGTATTCTGTTATTGTTTCCCCATTACACAACAAGGACCCTACACATCCATCAGGTTTACCCTACCAAACCAATATCATTAATCTATACAGTACAGTACCTTATTTATTTATTTTTTTTTTTATTTAATACAACTTCAGTATTAACTTTCTACAATCCAGTTAAGGTTTAAGGGAAGCTTCCTGCATTTGTGGGATGGTAAATTTGTTTATCTTGGATTATTTACGACGCCTTTACTTGAAGAGCTTCGTACGTCACATGACACATTATTACCCATTGTATCTTGTGTAGTCGTTCAAAATAATATAAATCTATACAGTACTAAACTGTATAATAAATTAATATAAAATATGCTGAGGCTATTAGACTCCACATAACCTACATTACTCTTGACAAAGTGTTACACACATATGCCTCCGGAATTTATACAATCACAGAAAAATTACTGTACTTGAGCTGGCATTCCAAACTTGACAGTAAAATGACACAAGTCATGGGAATTAGATTCCACATAAACACAGCTTGTAATTACTTGTACAGGGAATGAAAAAAGTCATTAAAATATTGTTCTAAGGGAAACTCTCCAGTTACAACACACCCTGGTCTTGCTGGTCATCGTTAAGTGTGTTTTTTGTACTATAATAAACATTAGTTTTGGTTCCATCATTTGTTGTGTTCTCCAAGACAAGAAACGTTCCCCTTACCTGTGACTTTTTGCCCCATACTCATCCGGTTGCGGCGAGGCCCTCGTGAGCTATGGCGCTGGTTGGGGTGGTGGTGATGGTGGTTATGGTGGTGATTATGATGATGGTGGTGAGCGGCAGCAGCGGCGGCGGCAGACGACCGCGTGGAATACGGCGGAGGTGCGTCGTGGTGACTGTGACGGACAGTGGCGTTGTTGGTGGCAGCGTTATTTGAGGCGTTGTCGTGCTGCTGGTTGGCGTCTACTCCACCCCCGCTGCTGTTGTCGGGCTTGTGTGTGGCGGCGTTGTTGGTGCTGGTGCCACCTGGGCCAGACACACTGGTGGCCTTCCCTCCCTGGGTGACAAAAGAGGTTTATTACCAAGAGGATAATAAATACAGTAGGTGGTAAAATACATAAACAAGATATGAAGTGACTAAAGATGTGTTGAATTAAGAAAAAGCAACATACACATAACTAAACCAAAACACAGAATAAGTTTAAGATTTTCATTTGAATATATAGAAGTAATTGCGATAAAGTTCTAATTCACTGAATTACGGGTAATAACATATCTGCCTTATCAGAAGTCATCATTATATCAAACTCTTCAGAAAAACTTTTATTTCCATCAGACAATTTCACCCTAATTTCTAGACACTATGAAACATTAAAATGACCCGATGAAATTGAAACACCTTACACATTCGTTAGTTTGCAATTTTTTTCAGATCACGTCAAGATTAGCCTCCAAGCTTATTTCACCAGAAGATTAAACACCCTTAATGCTGCTTGGGTAGGTGAGCTTAGGTTAGGGTGGTTAATCATAAGGTGAAATAAACAGGGGGAAGGCTAATCTTGTGAGCCAAATTTTCCCTAAGGCTTCACTGTCCTGTACATAACTATATGAATGTGAAATTTGCATATTCTCACACTTGCAAGTACTGTATGGATTAGGTACATTATCTATTACCCGATACATGTACTAGAAAGTCTATATTAAGCAACAACAAGTGAGAAGCCTTAAAAAACGTATAAAATCATCAACAGTTCCAATAATATTTATAGTCAGGTTCAATATTTAATAAATAGCATCCACACTAGTTTCTTGTACTGTTCTTATGTTCACTCATATTTTTCTACTCTGCACTGAAACCTCTATTTAACGGACTATATTGAGAGGAAAGTCCCTTATATCGAGGGTCCATTAGATGAGAAATCCGCATCTCACGGATTATATGGAGAGAAATCCGTTATATGGGGGTTTCACTGGACTGTACTATCCTTAACTCTTTGAGTACATTGGGAAAGTCAAGAACACAAAGGCCTTAAACATACACACATACCTACAGTACATATCCCAACTCTACGTTCAGTTTAACATTCTCGTCGGGACAACCACATTCACCCAAACGCTCTCCAAGTATCTCGCCATTTCTCCCAAGTTTGGTTATTCAGACAGACATTGATTGGTTATTCTCAACACTCCAGTGATTCCCGTGGCAACCGCTGAACCCCACCCCCCTCCCCCGTACCTGGCGTCAACATCTCTCGTCACCCGGACTCTGATGCAGCACCCTGTATTGTATATTTCTTCTCCTCATATCCTCAACAACACAGTCATCCATCTATCATCCACCAATCTATCATCCATATTACTAGGTTAGGCTATACAATATTAATACCTTTCCCCCTCCCTCCCTCACAATATCTACAGCCTATCTATTCACTCTCGGATACAAAGAGCCGTGTTTCATGATGCCCCACAACCCGACCACAGTCACCATCACTACCCACTAGCTCGATTCTTCTACGGGAGTAAAGTTGTGACATGCAGAGTACGTGAGTCAATCAAAAACAATATACGGTAATAGTGTCTTTTCTGTGCCTGTCATTATACCGCTAATTATGTCTTTGCATGCAAATTAATTATGGTATTTTTCTGGATCCTACTGTTATATTTCACAAACTTTTATATGTATACATTACCTCTATACTGTACATACTACCAAGCAATCACAAGGCAGCAGAAATTCTCCCTCTGCCCCTACACAAACACACACACAACATTTCACATTTCTGTAGCTTTCATAAACAACAAATAAATTAAAATATCACTCGCATTTTTCCACTGCACAAAATAACACTTTAAAAAATATATGTAAAGAATTGCATGAATATACCCCCTCAAAGCATCCATAAAAATCCTACATCAAAAGTGACCTCTCGTCCCTCCCCAGCTTAGAAACACACACAAAGGTCAACTGGCTCCACACTTGACCTTACACGGCTTCACACAACCTAACTAACAACCTCACATTACACACACACACAGTTGGCTACACACGATACGAGCGGGTATGTGGCAGTATGCAGGCTGGCGTGTAATATATGTTGTCACAGGATATGAGATGATACAATACGTGGCCGTGAAAGCGTTACTGAATTCAGAGGCCATTACACGAAATTAATTTACACATATACAATAACTTGTGTCTGCCTACAGCGGCTGCCTTCAACACTGCCTCTGATCATCATGAACTTCTTCCTGACCTCCAACACTGCCTTCTGACCTCCAACACTCCCTCCTGACCTCCAACACGGCCTCCTGACCTCCAACACGGCCTCCTCACCTTCAACACGGCCTCCTGACCTCCAACGTCAAGTAATGTACAGTAGGACCATTATCAGTTAAAGGTAACTAGTACTTGTATTAACTTTGACCATGAAGTATATCCCAGTACGGTATTACATTTATCACATGATTAACCACTAACATTATTTGGGTGAGTTGAGGTTAATGTTACAGTAGTTAATCTTTAGGTGAAATAAACTGGGTTGTTCCATCAATTTTGAGGATTATTGACTCTAGAACTGAATATTTTTATCAAATTTATCATTATCCATTATTAAAGAAACCAACGTTATCTAAAAATGTGATATAATATTTAATCACACTAAACTGTGGTCTGTACACATAGTATTTTCCTCTCAGTTAGCCTCTTGCTAGAACACCAACCACAAAATGTACTCTTCAACTAAAAACCACGAACAAAGCAAATTAAATGGTATACTTTTATCCATGACTCAAAAAGCAATAAGAAACAGGATTCTTAGTTCCATTTTATTGAATTAAAATTTGAGGAGTCTTTATGGATCACTGTAGGGAAGAAACAGCATTAATACCGAGGGGAAAAATCTGACTACCTTATGTTTGGTATTGTAGTGATGAGCGTGAAGAGGCCTCGCGTGGTGCCGCCGAGGTCTTCCCGCTGCGGCGGCTGATGCTGAGGACTGCTGGGTGGCGTAGCGGGGCGAGCGTCTTACTCCTACTGCTGCTCCTCCCGCTGCTGCTGCCGCTGCTGCTGCTGGGCCGCCGCCACCACCGCTCCCACACCGCTTACCACCGTACCTGCAACCAAAGTCAAGTATTAGTGTTTATATTCACAAACCAGTAATTTATAAAGATGAAGAAAACCTCACCCACACACTTATGTACAAGATGGACTTAAACACATAATAAGAATTAATAAAACTTTCTTTACACCCCAACACATGAGATATACATACATAGAATAATAATAATGAGAAAAACCCCTTTAAGCCACTCATAATATCAAGCTGTCTGATTCATACAATGTGAAAGCAATTATATACAAGATGGTTGCCTCCTACACCACAAGCAATGTAAAAAAAAGAAAAAAAAACCTATGAATTTAGACTAAAGTGTATGACCATGAGAGTATCACTGGCATTCACATCTGTTGTACTTCCCGTTAAGTTAGTGGTAAATTTTAATGTAATGTACAGTGTTTGCTACCAGTTTAAATGCCATATAAAACAGACAAACTCAAGAACTTTCTCACATAATGAAATCCCACTATAGATGATACACACAGAAGAGACACAGAGGGAGTGTGCATGTGCGTCCGACCTCTTCCAACATTTGAGTGACAAGAACAATATTTAACATGAGGTAGTGTTTATAAGTGTACCAAGTGACGTAACCAGGTAAGCTTTCAGGTAAGGTAATTAAGCAAGAGACCATTAGCCTCTTTGATGATGAAATTTATAATCTTTACAATTGACAGACTAGAATGATTTAGCCATAATGTACAGAATCGAATTGTAGTTTTAGAAGACAAATAGTAAATCGTAGCCTAGTGTTATCGAGAGGAGGGGAGGGGGGACATTATTTTATACCATGAGAATAAATACTGTTTGGTACCGGATAAAAATTAGAATTTTTTTGTGAAGTAAAAAAAAAAATCTTGCTTTCTAATTACCAGTTTCTTCATTCACAAATTTAATCTGACTGAAAAAAAAAATAATCATGAAAAAGAATAAAGATTTAAAACTCGCATGGCAAAACGATTTAGATTGAAACTGAACTCCTAACCAGCTGACTACATAATAACCCAAGTTACACAACCAGAACAACCAAAACAGTCATCAGAAAATACATTACAATATATTATCGTTTATATTTCTTAACTTAAATAGCGGATGATTAAAAGACAAACATAAAAGTGTCAGAGATTCATAACGGGGTGATTTTACGAGTCTATAAAGCAATGTTTGGAGACGTCAAAAGACATTAGTGTAATTTATCAGAGTTTATACACATCCAACGGAAATGATTTGTATCTAACCTAACCATAACGTAACCTAATCACTACTTAATAACCTAACCTAATCTGACCTGACCTTTGTTATAATCTAGATAGCATACACTTTGATAAGAGATAGAGAGAGAGTAGGCAGTCAGTTAGCAGTGAAGTCAGTCAGTACCTTGCCCCAAACGCCACAAGGGAGGGCCCCAAGAACCAGGCTCGAGCCGCTTCAGGAGTGAGGTGGCGAGCTGGGTGATGGTGGTGTGGGGGAGGAGGTGCTGGTGGAGGCGGCGGGTGGTGGTTGAAGAAAGGGGGCGTGAACACAACCCACTCCTGAAGGAAGGGATTCATGCCACGCGGATCACCAACATGAACCACCACACACGTCACCATTTAAACCACTCAATTTAGTAGCTACGTCCTAACAACCTCGTTCCTCTTAGCACCATCCCAGGCTGGCATCCATTGTCTTAATCACCAACATGTTATTTTCACATTTTTTCTTCTTCACTATATCGTTTCTTTTATCATCACTGAGGATAAGAGATGTTAATATAGGGGAACCAGCACACACACACACACACACACACACACACACACACACACACACACACACACACACACACACACACACACACACACACACAAAAATGTTTTATCAAGCCACATGTAAAGACTGAAGAGTTATCCAAGTCTCAGCGCCACCCTTGGGATACACATGAACCACTGCCCTGACACTCAAACAACTACCCTCACCCCATCACCCCCTGACCTCACCCCCTGACCTCCCCTCATCCCCTGACCCTCAACAACTATCCTCACCCCTGACCTCAACTATTATCCTAACCTAACACACACCCCCAACCCACACACCTTAGCCCACACCCCTCGTCACCACACTGCTATTAAAAACTATTACAATACCCTTCACTCCTATGACTGACACACACACACACACACACACACACACACACACACATACACACACACACACACACACACACACACACACACACACACACCGTAACTTAGATGATACATTAGTTACTTGGGATGGCCACACAGTAATTAGCCTTTAGAGAGAGTTGTTACAGCACTCTTTTTCATGTGTCAATATTGGTCTTGTTGTTTACATTGTAACTGTGTTTGTCTGTCTAAATAAACTTTTAAGGTGGAAGAGGTGAGGGGGGGTGGAGCAGGAGGAGGGGGTGGAGGAGGAGGAGGGGTGGAGCAGGAGGGTGGAGCAGGAGGGGGGGTGGTGGAAGGAGGTGGAGGAGGTGACAAAGGTAGGAGGAGATATAAGAGAAGATAAAAGAGGAAGAAGAAGGAGGAGGAAAGAGGAGTGTAGGCATGACGGGCCAGATGACTCCGGGAGGGGGGAGGGGGGGACACGGCCTGGGTAAAGTGGCCGTTTCCTCTTTAATAACACCGACCCGACCCGACCTCACACCCCCTTCCTTAAAATACTGCGAAAAATAACACCCCAGACTGACATTCATACACCCCCCCCCCTCAATACTTTCCTCCCATACAACTAGCTATTCCGTACCACTAGCTAGCTATTTCGTATCACTAGTTAACTATTCCACACCACTAGCAAGCTATTTCGTATCACTAGTTAACTATTACATACCAGTAGCTAGCTAATCCACACCACTAGCTAGCTATTTCGTATCACTAGTTAACTACCAGACACCACCAGCTAGCTATTTCGTATCACTAGTTAACTACCCCACACCACTAGCTAGATATTTCGTATCACTAGTTAACTATTCCACACAACTAGCTAGCTATTTCGTATCACTAGTTAACTACCCCACACCACTAGCTAGCTATTTCGTATCACTAGTCCACACCACTAGCTAGCTATTCCACACCACTAGCTAGCTATTCCACACCACTAGCTAGCTATTCCACACCACTAGCTAACTATTCCACACCACAAGCTAGCTATTCCACACCACTAGCTAGCTATTCCACACAATAGCTAGCTATTCCACACCACTAGCTAGCTATTCACAACACTAGCTAGCTATTCCACATCACAAGCTAGCTATTCACACCACTAGCTTATTTAGCTAGCTATTCACAATACTAGCTATTCTAGCTAGCTATTTCACATCACCTAGCTAGCTATTCCACACCACTAGCTATTTCACCACACCACTAGCTAGCTATTCCACACCACTAGCTAGCTATTCCACACCACTAGCTAGCTATTCCACAATACTAGCTAGCTATTCCACACCACTAGCTAGCTATTCCACATCACAAGCTAGCTATTCCACACCACAAGCTAGCTATTCCACACCACTAGCTAGCTATTCCACACCACTAGCTAGCTATTCCACACCACTAGCTAGCTATTCCACACCACAAGCTAGCTATTCCACACCACTAGCTAGCTATTCCACACCACAAGCTAGCTATTCCACACCACTAGCTAGCTATTCCACAATACTAGCTAGCTATTCCACACCACTAGCTGGCTATCCCATTTAAAGAGGAGCTAAATACCCACCCGCTATTAATTAATCCCTAAGTCCTTTTGTCAACACAACCTACCCATGTAAAACAACAATAAGGCACACACACACACACACACACACACACACACACACACACACACACACACCGTCTCTACATGCTACGACGACTTAGGTCACGTGGGACACCCACTCCAGAGCTGAGGACCATCTACAACGCCTTTATTCTCCCCAAACTAACGTATGCGTCACCAGCCTGGTCGTCTTCTCTCAACTCCACCCAACAACGTCGGCTAGAGAAGGTACAGAAAAGGGCCTGCAGAATCATGCTCGGCGCAGAATACTCCGGCTACATCAACGCTCTCTCCACCCTGGAAATGCCATCCCTCAGTGACCACCACCAAGCACTGGAAAGGTTTGGCAGCCAACTAATGCACCTCATCGCCACCTCCCGCCACCTGCAGCCCCCCACCCAACTCGCGCAGTCCACCACTACAACAAAATTCAGCCCATAAGAGCCCGCACTGATAGATATAAGAACAGCACCATCCCATCTATTGTTAAAATAATAAACAACTCCTGATTTATGTACTGTACAGCCCTGTAAATGTATTCAACGCATATTATATCATTATGTCTAAATCAAATGTAAGTCTGTATAATTTCAGCCGCCGGCTGCAACTCTATTAATAAACCGTTTATTATTATTATTATTATTATTATTATTATTATTATTATTACACACCAGGTATTCATCACAGGTAAAAACTCGTAAGTGGTGTAATTAAGCCGAGTGATTATTTATTTATCTCAACACACCTAACCCAACCTAGCCTAGCCTAGCCTAGTCTAGCCTAACTTAACTTAACCTAACCCCATCCTCCCAAATACTGTTTATGTTATGTTAGGTTAGGTTAGGTGAGGTGAGACAGCTACCAAGTGGGTCGAGGTCAACACTAGGTGGCTGTGTGTGTGTGTGTGTGTGTGTGTGTGTTACCAACCATCAGTACTTCTTGTTGTGGAGGGAGGGAGGGTGAGGGGTGTATTTTAAGGCGTGATGTGATATCCAAACAAACAAATGCAGCATATATAACTAACACACTCTCTCTCTCTCTCTCTAGGACAGACAAAACGGTCAGACAGCTGTATAGACAGATTGGTAAACAGACATATAAATATTTAATGTCCAACACCGTAACACGCAACCCAACCCAGTCAGACATCCTACCCTCCCCTCCCCTCGTCTCCCCTCTCCCTTGATAAAATATCCAGAATCGATGAACCCCCCCCCCTCCTCCCCCTCACACCCTCCT